AGCAGTAGCAGAAGCAGTATCAGTAGTGATAGTTGTTGCGGCTGCAGTTGGAGAAGCATGCGGGTGGCACCTCCAGCAGCAATGGCGACAGGCAGCATGGATTTTCTGACAGGTGCGCTCACATGCGCCGGTGACGCTCAGGGTTTGTGCATTTGCAGCCACAAGCCCGAAACCTCCCTACTACACCGCAAACATGCCCGAAGCCTCCCTAAACCCCATTGTTGACACTCAAGCAACTCTAAGCCACAAGAGGGCAAGCAGGACGAAAATTAAAACCCTATAACCCCTACTTCCCGATAAAACCCAATAAATCTTGTTTCCTAAGCCCGAAGCAGTATACCTTGTACTGCAGAACCTTTTTCGTCGTATAGCAACCCTTTATAGGATCCCTGTATGGACACCCTTTAAAAGGGATCCTCGACTGCGCGGCGGTGCTCGTCGCGCAGCTTGCAGCGCATGCGAGCTTCGAGGCTTCCAAGCGCGCGCCTGCTGGGTCCTTTCGGTTTTTGGGTTTAGGGCACTGGTGAATATGTGTGCAGCGGACAGGCAAGCTAACCCTGAACCCTAAACCCTATTGGGTTCATGTGGCATTCTTTGCCAATTGCCAATTGGTTTCGCGACCTACATAGCACTCCAGTAACGTGTGCGAGTGTGCAGTTTAAACGTCTCGTGTATGTGGCATGTGTCATGTCTTCGTCTGTGCACGCACAGAGATTTGACAAGCTGTAGTTTGCTTTGGGTGTAGCAAGCTGCACAGGAGACGGCATCCGTGGATACTGCAGACGCAGAGGAGGAGGGGCAACTCTAAACCCTCCAGGGTTTGAATCCCTCAGGGCTTTATGGGGGGTTTTTAAGTTTCGGGGGCCTACCAGGACCCTTCAATGGCCCCTTAATAGAGCTCTTATGGTCCTCAATACTGGGTTTGTGGGGGATAATGGAGGGTAGTTGGGGGGTCTAGGTAAGCAACTTGAACAATTTGGCCAGTTTCCGAAATTAGGGTTCCTTTTGGGGTCCTTTTTATAAGGGTGCCATACTCTATTGGGGACCTAAAAAGGGACCCGAATTTAGAGAACTACCCAGTTGGCTTTCCGGGATTCATGAACCGTCCACGATTCGGTGCACCCTGGAGCTGCAGAGCTGTATGGGAGTTTCAAAAAATTAGGGGTGCCTTACTTTGGGGTCCT